ATTTTAGTGTATTTTTGGTCTTTGTTGGAAGCCACCCAGAGTGGCTGGGGAAACCCAGCCAGATGGGTGGGGATACAAATAATAAATTATTATTATTGTTATTGAAACGGAAAACTGGCAGCTATGGGCCATTCCACACATGAGCCTGGCTAGTACGTGACAACAATTTGTTTGTTAACAACTGGGGGGGAGGGAAATAAACCAGATTGGACATATTCGCTTCTATTTTTTGTCTTTTGGAAAGCGAATGCACACTTATATGTCACAGCTGGCTAACTTCTGTACGCCGCAGTCCTGAAGCAAGCCCTCGTACAGAGCTTGTGGAATCCCTGCCGTCCGATGTGAAAAGTTCATTGCCGTCATCTCCGGGCAGGGATACGGTAGAATTCTTTCCAAGTGAGAGAGACGTTCTGTGGCAACGCATCCCCGTAACCGATATTTTGCTTTCTAATTTAAGCCCATTTGTTTGCTTGCTGTGGCGGGTACTTGACGCACCTGCTGATGGCAGTGAGAGGCATTAATGTCTGAGTGGTCTAGTCATGCACTCAGTGCAACTGGGGATCATCTCGTCATGCCCCTGCTTGCGCCTGCCAACTCTAGCTTCCAAGTGATTCAGCATAACTGCCCAGAGTGCTTCAGTCTGAGGTTGAAATGTATACAAAGGCAGCTGGGATGGAGGTGTGTGAAGTCTTGAAAGCAAGATCCCAAAGCATGTGTTTCTGTGGGCGCGTTGCCTGGAAACCCAGCCAGCAAACGACGTAGCAATTTTGATACCAAAATGCTGGCAGAACAATGTGCTACATGCATATGGAAATAATCCCATAAAACCACACCCTCCTTGCAAATAATCAGTCCTTCAGTGAGCAGAGCCTACTTTCTGCAGCTTCCTGCTCATTCAGGTTCTTCACTGAATTGTTTTTGGTTTTAAAAAAATTGTTCTGGTAAATCGACCCTGACAAATAATTACTGACATGCAGTTTTATTATGCATATTTGTTCATAAAGTGCTGGTTTTATCTATGGCTTGACAAATTGCACGCATTTAATGTTTGATATTGTTGGTACTTTGAATGGATATGTTATATTGTTATATGTGACCTGCTTAGAAGCTTTTGTTGATTGAGCAGTATATTTCTGAGCAGTACATTTTAACTTTGAACCGATCCAGAAATGCTACAACAGGATTTAATATTATCAATAATTTTTCAAAAACCCATAGGGTTGCAATGCTTGAATGATTAAGTCTAAAAATGCAAAACACCTTTAATAACAGGCTCCAATTAACAGAACAGCAGCATGTGTATATTTAGCGTGAGAATGCATAAAGAGGAGACTTTGCAAAGAAAACAAATCTTGCACACACAGACTTTGTGTTTGGACTGTGCTCTGGGGCGAGTTCACCCGAAGGCACATTCCAGCTGCAATACCAACATAGTCTACTTGCTTTGGAATGAAACTTTCCTGGTGGTACCAGTGGATGACTTTTCTTAATGCAAATACTAGCTTCAAAGGAAGGATTTCCCCCAAGATATGCAGTAGGTAAGGATCAAATCCCCTCTCCATGCCTGGTCTGATCTTCTTCACAATGCGTCCCCACCTTCTCCGTAGCTGATCCAACCTGCACGTAAACAAACCTGCCAGTTAGATGCAAAGGCATTTAATAGCCATCAGGTGTAGTTTGACCTTTGGAGACATCATCTCTCAGCCAAGGGTGCTGGTGCAGCAAGGCTTCTGATGCCAATGGTGCATAAGCCCTGGCTGAATCTCAGAAATCCATGGTGAATTTTCAAAGAGGTGGAGTCAGGAAAGTGTGTGTGTGTGTGTGTGTGTGTGTGTGTGTGTGTGTACCTCTACTGAGCACGCAGAAAGTCGACAATACCCCCAGGTAAAGCTTGGAAAGCCACTGCCCATCCTGCCACTTCACTACCTTGAGGCACCAGCAGGAAGTCAAAAACACTGTGGTAGGCGGCTGTCAATCTCAAGGATATTTTTTGCAAAGTTTTGCAAAGGGACAACTGCCAATGCTTGCTCCAGATTTGCTATTCTGTCTTTGCCCACAGGTTTGTGAACTGCAACCCTTCTTGTCTTGCACTCCTTTTTGCAGTCTTAGTATAAGCATGGACACAGTAAAATTTTATTTTGGTTTTTTTAATCCACGGGATGGATTTTTATTTTTCTTGGTCTTTTCTAACAATTCTTATGCTTGCTTGCTATGCTGCTGCAAAAGAGGAGAAGATGCACATCTCCTTTCCTGCTGCTATTTCTGTCCAGCAAAGAAAACACAGAGACTTCGAAACTCTGGCCCATCTGAGGGAGGAATCTGGGGCACTACAAGCTCTATGAAGAGGTAGCAAAATGTGCCTTGGCATAAAATCATTGGCACTTTCCACGCTGGGACCAGCAAGAACGCCATTCTTTTAACTCACCGAGACTTTTTTTTTAAAAAAAATTCTTTTTATTAATTTTCTAAGCCAAACAACACAGAAAAAAGAAAAAGAAAAACAAACCGAACACACCAATGAGAAGAAAAAAGAAAGACATCAACCAAAACAGAAAATATAAACAAACCAGAAGACGAACATCAGTTAACACAAATAAAAGTTGACTTTCCTCCATCTTGATTTTGGATTATGTGAAGTAGTAATTCTGTTCTGCAGTTTTCATTTTATATCATCTAAACATCGCAAGGATTATATTAAACCTACTGTGATTTTTATATCTCTAGAATTTGATTCCATGTACATTATAAATTTATTCCAGTCATCAATAAACTTTGTACCTTTTTGCTGTCTGATATTCTGTGTCATTCTTGCCAAATCCATATATTCAAATAATTTAATTTGCCAATCTTTAACAGTCGGGATATTTGGGGTTTTCCAATTTTTTGCTAACAAGATCCTGGCAGCTACGGTTGCGTATTGAAACATTATATGATCCTCTTTTTTAATCTCGTCTCCGATCATTCCCAGAAGAAAAGCTTCGGGTTTTTTAACGAAAGTGTATTTAAGTATTTTTTTCAGTTCATTATATATTGATTCCCAAAATTTTTTGATTTCTTCACACTTTCACTACATGTGGAAGAAACTTCCTTCTTTGGTTTTACACTTCCAACACCTATTATCTCCGGTCTTAAACATTTTTTGCAGTTTCACAGGGGTGATGTACCAACGGTACATCATCTTTTCCATATTTTCTCTGAGGGTGGTGCAAGCTGTAAATTTCATTCCTTTAGTCCACAGCCTCATCCATTTGTTGAAATCCAAATTGTATCCGAGATCTATAGCCCATTTTGTCATGCCATCCTTAACCTCCTCATCCTTAGTGTCCCATTCTAATAGCTGATTGTACATTTTAGATAGCAGTTTAGTTTTACCTTCTATTATTTCTACCTGGAACTTGGATTTTTTTTCGTTCATTCCGATCTTTTTATCTTCCTTCCATAAGGCATTGACTTGATGGTACTGCAGCCAACCCGATAATTTACTTTTTAACTCTTCATATGGTCTAATTTTCCATCCTCTTTCTGATCTTTCTAGGAGGTCTTCATAAGTCCATCTCTCACCTTCTATATTTGTTTTTTTAATAGTTAACATATCTATAGGCGATAGCCACCAGGGTTTTTCCCCCCCCAACAGTTTCTTGTTCTTTTCCCATGTTTCTAACAATGTTCCTCTGATAATATGGTTCGAGAAGCCTTTATGCACCTTTTCCTTATTCTGCCAGAGATAAGCATGCCAACCAAATCTTAAGTCAAATCCTTCTAGGTCTAGCAGGTCTGTGTTTTTCAAAATAATCCATTCTCTAAGCCAGCAAAGGCACGAGGCTTCATAGTACAGTCTCAGATTTGGGACCGAGAATCCTCCCCTGTCTTGTTTATCCGTTAACAATTTAAATCTAATTCTCGGTCTTTTACCTTGCCATATAAATTTAGAGAGAATTTTTTGCCAGTTTTGGAATATTGCACTTCCTCTAATCACCGGAACGTTTTGGAATAGGAATAATAATTTCGGCAGTATGCACATCTTGATTGCTGCCATTCTACCTGACCAGGAGAGTTTGATCCTGTTCCAGATGTCTAGTTCCTTTTGGATATCCTTCCAGGTATTAATGTAGTTATCAGCCATTAAATTTATGTTTTTCATTGTAAGCCACACTCCTAGGTATTTTACCTTTTTTACTTCTTTAATTCCTGATTGGAGTTTTAATTGCCTCCTTAGGTCTTCCCCCGTGTTCTTTACCATCATTTTAGTTTTAGTTTTATTTAACTTAAAGCCCGCTACTCTCCCAAATTCCTCTAAAAGTACCAGGGCTTTGTCCATACTTTGTTTTGGGTCCTCCAGTGAGATTACCAAGTCATCCGCGTATGCTTTCAATTTGAATTCTTTCACCCCAATTCTAATTCCTCGTATCTCTGGTGTTTTCCTTATCTTATTTGCAATTACCTCCAATACCATTATGAAAAGAAGCGGTGACAGGGGGCAGCCTTGTCTCGTACCCTTGGAAATCTCAAATGCATCAGTTAAATTGTTGTTAATAATCAATTTGGCTCTTTGACTAGAATAAATTGCTTTGATTCCCTCCATAAAAGCACCTTCTATCCCTGCTGTCTCCATACACTTTAATAAGAACTGCCATGAAACATTATCGAATGCTTTTTCTGCATCGATAAAAATTAATACTGCAGGGATTTCATTCTTCCTTTCCAGGTATTCGATGATATTTATTATGTGCCTAACGTTATCTTTTAGTTGTCTATTAGGAAGGAATCCAGCTTGGTCCGTGTGTATTACATTTTTTAGGTAATGCTTAAGTCTGTTTGCCATAATTTCCGCAAATATTTTATAATCATTATTAAGAAGCGATATCGGTCTGTAATTTTTTATACTCAGTTTATCTGACTCCGCTTTAGGTATCTTCTTCTCCTAACTCTTCTTCTTCCTCCTCCTCCTCTTCTCCACCTACTGCTCCTTCCTCTTCCACTTCCTCTTCTTCCTCTTTTCTCTCTCTCTTTTGCTTCTCTGTGTTTTTTACCTTCTTTTCCTTCCTCCTTTCTGTATATCTCCCTCCTCCTCCGTACCTTTCTTCCCCTTTTCCAAGCTCCTTCTCATATCTTCTCAAAAAAATTTCTGCTTCTTGTGTATCTATCAGTCTGAATCTTTTATCTTTATAATAGAAGGTAATTCCTTCAGGGAACTCCCATCTATATTGTATATTGTTTCTCTGTAAGACACTTACTATTTGTCGGTATCCTTGTCTTTTACGCAAAAGTCTAATTGGTATTTCTTTGTATATAATAATTGTTCTGTTTTCAATTATTAATTTTTTTTGGTAACTTGTTCTTAATATCATATTTTTCATCTCAATTGAGTTGAAAATCATCAAACAATCGCCAGGATCACCGAGACTTTTAACAATCTGAGATTCCAGTCTATCTGGAATCTCCTGCACTAGTCAAAAGGAGGAAATGCACACAATTCATTCTGTGTCCTGTGGTTTATAAACAATGGAGATTGCATTTGTGTGGCTGCCCTTGTTATGCTGGGATACGACAGGAGTCCACTATCTGCATTTTCCAGAAACAACAGGAGGCATTTTTGCTCCAGCGGGCTTTCCCAGCTGGTGAAGTGGGTCATTGTGACAAGTGTCCACTTCTTAGGATTTTAGTTTTGTTTTAAATGTATTAGCCCTTTTACGTTTTGAATTGTCTCTGTCATACATTGTGTTGAGACCTTTATCTAGGAGGAATTAATAAATCAATAATACTGTAATTATTATCCAAGACAGCAAACTTTACTCTCAAGGGAAGTTCCTGTTTCCTTCTCTTAACTTGCCTTACCAACCCATGTGCTAAGAAAACCTTAGAATTTCCACAACCAGAGAGGCATTCTTGCAGTAAATTCCAAACAATGCCACGTGGAAATCACCATTCTACTTTTGCAAAGCGCTTGGCTCAATATGCTACTTTTGCCGGTCACGTTTTGTGATGAGTATGAGTTACTCGTGCGTAAACTGGTGCCTCTCTAGGCTAAATTGCCTTGTTAAACCTTTCTGATTGCACAGCCCTTTCTAATTGTGACTGCCTCAGTCACTGGCAGAATCCGTCAGTGGGCGTTTCTTGAACCTCTTCCAACATAAAAGTTGTTTGACACCCAGTCTCCTCCTCCTCTCACTGCGTGGGAGTCTTCTGCGCAGGGAGGGCGTGGGTAGCGGAGGACCTGTCCCCTCCTCACTGAGTTCCAGTGAAGAGTCCTGGAGCCCTCTCTCCGATTCCCCCATCTGCCCACCTTTATCCCTGGTGTTGCGCTTAAATGCTTCCCCCTCAACTGAGCTATTTCTCCCCCTGCTGCTGGGTCCTTCTCCAGCATCATCTAGGGGCCTCCCCTTCGCCTCTCGCTCCGATGTCAGTTCCCTGACACGTTTAATCCACTGAGGCTCCGCAATGGAGCAGAGCAGAAAAGCAAGAATCGAACCACATGAGAGATGGGATAAAAATGCCCACAACTTTTATTGCTTACAGCTAACAGATTGGTGTGACACAAGGCAAGCATTCAGATCCAAGAGCCACTACTTGGGGCAGGCTGGACCTGGAAACACCAACCCAGGACCATTTAAGGGGGTCCTTACCTCCACAATCCATTCATGCATTTATCACCTTTATATACCAAGGAGCTCAAGGTGGCATACATGGTTCTCGCCTCCCCTTCTTATCTTCACGACAACCCTGTGAAGTAGGTTAGGCGGAGAGAAAGGGACTGGTCGAAGGTCACTCAGTGAGCTTAATGGCAGAGTGGAGATTCGAACCCAGATCTTAGTCTGGCACTCTAAACGCTAGGCCACACTGGCTGTCAATCTGGACCCAGGCCTCCAGAGACTTTTCGATCACTTGAAATGAAATTACAATGGATTTAAAAAAAAAAAAAATTAAAATTATGGTGTTAAGAGTATTAAAAAGAGGATCTGCTGGATCAGTGACCCATCTAGTCCAACATTCTACTCTCACAGTGCCCCCACCCCAGATCCACAAGCCGGATTCGAACACAAGAGCCCTCTCCCCGCCTGTGGTTTCCAGCAAATGGAATAAAGCATCGGAAAACGATGCTGGATTTTAAAATATGTTGGATCTACTCTCATCCCGAGGTCATGTTGAACTTCCTGAGAATCTCAGCTGTTGTTTGAAGAACCAGCGCCCAGCGCTTTGGGCTCTTACCCTGGGTGGGAACAATTCCTGGGCCCTATGCCAGGGTAACGCTTTCAGCTAATTTTGACTGGTGAAAGTTTGTCTGCATAGACTGTTCCTTGTTTCTCCCTTCCCCATGTTTCATTCATGTGGAACATGCTGTTGATATATCTGGCAATATTAGGCTTGTATATTTTAGAAACTTAAATGCACGCACTGGCCTTCCAGACAGATTTAGCCTCTTGATAATCCTGTCTGGTCACCAACCTCTTGTTTGTTGGGGCAGTATAAAAACGCTAACAACTAAGAAAGCCAGAGTTATGAATGGTAAGATAAATTAAAATATAAAAAAATATATGCAAGTGTAACCAATCCAACATAAACCAACTCTTCCCCTGGAACAAATGGGCTGCAGTGATAGGATTGTTGAAAGGATAAATCAGTTATTATTGATATATTTATGCTCGTTTTGCGTGTTCTATTTGGGTGGCAGGGGAGAATAAGTAGCACATTTTTTTTTAAAAAAAACCCCTAATACTGAGTTAAATGCTTTTAAAAAACAAATTCCTTGGAAGTTCAGGACCCCCAGGGTGCACAATTTCATCAGGGAATACATTGCAGGAATACATAAGGGAATACATTTTCCCTGCTTGAGGGAAAATCAGACTCGTTAAAAATTGTGTCCATTAATTTTTGCTTCTTTTCAAAGAGGGGAAATTTTTTTAATAAACAAAGCCCAAGGGAAGACAATGTCCTCTTAGATAAAGTCCCAGTCGCAGACCAAAATGGTACTGGTTATTTTTCTCAGAGGCGCTTGTGCATATCCTTTTTATAACTTGAACCCACGTCCAATCTCATGAGCTCAAGAAATGCTTTTGGATCTTCTTTTGTATATTCTGCAATTTCATGTGATCCAGGGCTTTCCAGAGCTTCTGCACCACGACCTGTCTCCCCAGAGTGTCCTTGAGCTGGATGAGGAAGGCATGGAGTTCCACCTGGAGCACTAATGGGCTCTTCTCATCACAACCTGCGGCAGGTGCACTTCCGTTGATTCTGTGAAGCAGTCTCTCCAGCCGTCTCTGCGACCCGACTTGGTAAGGCACAAAGTCTATTATGGCGTCTTGACAATCACTCCCGATTCCTGGAGAAGGCAGGGCGGGGAACGAAACAGGTCTTGGTATTAGGTGGTGTGAATAAGGCCTCTAGTGCCAGGCTCATATTACAGTGGGTGGGTGGCGCTGTGGTCTAAACCACAGAGCCTAGGAGTTGCCGATCAGAAGGTCGGCGGTTCAAATCCCCGCGATGGGGTGAGCTCCCGTTGTTCAGTCCCAGCTCCTGCCAACCTAGCAGTTCAAAAGCACGTCAAAGTGCAAGTAGATAAATAGGTACTGCTCCAGCAGGAAGGTAAATGGCGTTTCCGTGCGCTGCTCTGGTTCGCCAGAAGCGGCTTAGTCATGCTGGCCACATGACCCCGAAGCTGTACGCCAGCTCCCTCAGCCAAGAAAGCGAGATGAGCGCTGCAACCCCAGAGTCGGGCACGACTGGACCTAATGGTCAGGGGTCCCTTTACCTTTTACTATTCAGTAGACTTCTACATGTTGTTTTTAGGCACCTGATAAGCCATGCTTCAATCCAAAAAGGGATTTGTGGAGTAGGTTACAAGGGCAGAAAATAGAATCCACTGGCAACTCAACAGAGCAGCATTAGAGTGATGTTTTTGAAATTCCCAGGCTCTCTGGCCCAGCTTTAAAGTGTTGCGTATGAAACTTGCCATGACTACTGCAATACATAGCTGTCAACTTTCAGATTTGAAAATAAGGGATCAGCAGCCTCGGAAATAAGGGATCAGCAGCTTCACCTGTCCTGGGGACAGTCTTTGGGATATCTAACAATCCAGGGAAGCAGCGGGAAATGGTGCTGGAATAAGGGAATTTCCCGCAAAAAAGGGAAGGTTGACAGCTATGCTGCAATGTGCTCTATGCGCATGACTCAGAAACTACAGCAGACCCAGAACGGGGCTGCCACACACCATACGTTACAGCAGTCATGGAGCATTCTGGGAACTGCAGTTCGTTAAGGGTGCTGACTTCACAGAGCTACAGTTCTCAGCACCCTTAGCAAACTACGATTCCCAGGATTCTCAATGATTATTTAAGTGGAATAAGAGTGCTCTAAAAGCATGGGGTGGACGGACCATAAGCCGGCAAGAGTGGGAGTTCTGGAAAGGGCACAAAAGAACTCCTAAATTACAGGGCCCAGGATTTTGCTGAAGGTAAGTCACAAGTGCTTGATGTCCATTTGAAATGGGCAGGGGGGGTACCTGTGCCTCCAAGCAGCTTCTCACCTGGTCCTTCGTCTGCTTTGTCCTTGGTGCTGTTGGCTTTGCTCATCTTGCAAACGGTGCAGAAGGTGTCATGGAACTGGTTCCCAGGGACGTTGACCGCCAGGCCTTGCTTAGAACAGTCCCGGTGAGGTTGGCACACCTCAGTGCTGGAAACAGAGTCGGAAAAGGTCCCCTGAGGACACGGGATACATGTAGTGTCCTCCTGCGGGTTGCCTGTAAGATACAGCCATGGCAAAAGAAGAAGAAGCTGTGAGCAAGCACTGCATGCAAATTCCGAATGGAGCTGGGCATTGTCTAAGAACTGCGGTTCCCAAGTGTCTTACCCCCCCCCCATGTAGCACTTAAAAAATTGCTGAGGGTCTTGTAGGACCACTTGGTACTGGGGTTCTCTAAGGGTGTGGCAGGAGAGGATGGCAAGTGTATTGGGAAAATTCAAGGACAATCAAACATTTAAACATTTCAGTGTAGTATAGCATATTATCAGTATATCTATTATTTGCAGAATATGATCATTGCAGATGGTGACAGCAGTCACGAAATTAAAAGACGCCTGCTTCTTGGGAGAAAAGCAATGACAAACCTAGACAGCATCTTAAAAAGCAGAGACATCACCTTGCCAACAAAGGTCCATATAGTTAAAGCTATGGTTTTCCCAGATGTATGGAAGTGAGAGCTGGACCATAAAGAAGGCTGATTGCGAAAGAATTGATGCTTTTGAATTATGGTGCTGGAGGAGACTCTTGAGAGTCCCGTGGACTGCAAAAAGATCAAACCACACACGTGGGTCCACAAGGTTTCATTTCCTCCCACCATTTCTACACGTAAAGCTAAGGTGAACCCGTGTAACTTATGGACTTCACTTTTGTGTGTTCCCCAGTGGCCGCAGTTGTTCCGACCAAAACAAAAGTGGTCTTAAACTTCACAACTGGAGGAGTTAATTGAAGAAAATCCACTACGCTAGCCTGATTCAGTAAAAGGCAGAATTCTAAGTCAGGTATAGGTTGCCACAAAGTATGTGAATAATATAACTTGTTCAAAGTCCAAAATCCAGTTTATTACAGAACATATAGAAAAGAATCTCAGCAAAACACCACTGAACCACAAAACTTCTCTGAACTGAGTCCACCCATTGAGCACCCCCAGTCCAAGGCAGAGACAAAGGCCTCATCCAGACTTGTGACTTGATACCATCTCCCATTGGGCAGAACAGAGGACTTGAGCCATGTGGTCTATGACCAGAACTGTACTCCAGAAAACATAGATGTTTGCTAGAGGCACTGGCGAGAGGAAGGCAAATGAATAAGGGCTGCCAGACTGATGTTGCAATGCAGGGAGAATTTCTGACCAGTATGCTTGCTTCTGCACCTCCATAAATAATAAATAACAAATAACAAATATTTATTATTTATACCCCACCCATCTGGATGGGCTTTCCCAGACACTCTGGGCAGCTTCCAACAAAATACTAAAATACAGTAATGCATCAAACATTAAAAGCTTCCCTAAACAGGTGGCACACACCTCGTTTCAAACCCATGCAAAGCCCTGATGGCAACTGTCTATTTTGCAGAGCCTTGCCAGAATTCCCCACTGTTCATGGAGTACCAAGTTTTATATATATGTAAATATGATTTATTTACACATATTAAAATTGGAAGCTTTGAATGGAGAGAGATTTCACAGCGTTCATGTCTCAGAAGAAGCCCGTTCTTCATAGCAGCCCAGCGCTGGATTCCCAGACATCTGGGTGCCACAATACAGTGGTGCCTCGGGTTAAGAACTTAATTCGTTCTGGAGGTCCGTTCTTAACCTGAAACTGTTCTTAACCTGAAGTACCACTTTAGCTAATGGGGCCTCCCACTGCTGCTGCACCGCCGGAGCACAATTTCTGTTCTCATCCTGAAGCAAAGTTCTTAACCTGAGGTACTACTTCTGGGTTAGCGGAGTCTGTAACCTGAAGTGTCTGTAACCCGAGGTACCACTGTATATGAAAGGTATTGACAAGCTGGAATGTGTGCAGAGGAGGGCAAGAAGGATGATCAAGGGTCTGGAAACCAGGCCTTATGAGGAACTGTTGAAGGAGCTGGGTAAGTTTAGCTTGGAAAAGAGCAGACTGAGAGGAGATATGGTAGTCATCTTCAGATGTCTGAAGAGGGATGTCAGATGTCTGTCACATGGAAGAGGGAGCAAGCTTGTTTTCCCCTGCTCTGGAGGGTAGGACTCTAAGCAGTGGTTTCAAATGACAAGAAAGGAGATTCCGACTAAGCATCAGGAAGAAGGTGGACTCTCCTTGAGTGGATGCTTTTAAGCAGAGGTTGGATGGCCATCTGTCAGGGATGCTTTAGTTGAGTTTCCTGCATTGCAGGGGGTTGGACTAGATCAGGCATAGGCAAACTCGGCCCTCCAAATGTTTCTGGACTACAACTCCCATGATCCCTAGCCAACAGGACCAGCGGTCAGGGATGATGGGAATTGTAGTCCCAAAACATCTGGAGGGCCGAGTTTGCCTATGCCTGGACTAGATGATCCTGGTGAGCCCCTTCCAACTCAACAATTCTATGATTCTAACCTCTGTGATTTACCAGGGACAGTCAGCCCAAACCAAGGGCTGTCCCCAGTAGAGCGGCGCCTGCTGGGATCGAGAGTGAGGGTGCCGCTTGCAATACGTACCAAGCTGAGCAACTCCGGTTCCCAAAGGGCAGCTGGAGTGCTTTATGCAGAAATCCAAATCCGAGTGGTAGCCCGCCTTGCACTGGCACGCCCGGTTGTGTGTGCCGTTGCACGGCCACACCTCTTCTTCCAGGCTGTTGCAGAAGACGTTGCAGTACAGGCACTTCTTGAGGTAGTTCCAGTATTGCGTGTAGTGGAGAGCGGGGCAGGGCTGGCAAACGGTGTCCTTATCATTGGTGCACTCTTCAGCCACGTACGTCCCCGGCGGGCACTGCTTGCACACAAACACCTCATTGGTCCGGCGATCTCGCCTGCTGTAGGTGGGGTAGCTGCCGGAACACGGGGCCCCCAAGAGCAGGATATAGAGCACCACCCACTAGAAGACAAAGGGAGAGAGCGCAAGTGAGCTGGATGCAGCAACCGTGTTCCTTTCCCAGTAACTGTCCTTGGCAAAGGTTTCTGCCATTGGGTGAGATTTCTAACATTTTGCTAGTATCCTCGTGGTCAGGTCCTGCTTTGAGGGGTTTTCTCCCTAGCACTGGTTGGCCACTGTGAGAATGGGATGCAGGATTAGATGGGCCACTGGCCTGACCCACCCGTCTCTTCTGAAAAAAGGTAAAGGACCCCTGACAGTTACTGTATTTTTCGCTCTATAAGACGCACCAGACCACAAGACGCACCTAGTTTTTGGAGGAGGAAAACAAAGGGGAAAAAATTCTGAATCTCAGAAGCCAGAACAGCAAGAAGGATCGCTGTGCAGTGAAAGCAGCGATCCTTCTTGCTGTTCTGGCTTCTGGGATAGCTGCGCAGCCTGCATTCGCTCCATAAGACGCACACACATTTCCCCTTACTTTTTAGGAGGGAAAAAGTGAGTCTTATAGAGCAAAAAATATGGTAAGTCCAGTCGCAGACAACTCTGGGGTTGCGGCGCTCATCTCACTTTGTAGGCCAAGGGAACCGACGTTTGTCCACAGACAGTTTTTCCGGGTCATGTGGCCAGCATGACTAAGCCGCTTCTAAGCGCACGGAAATGCCGTTTACCTTCCCGCCAGAGCGGTACCTATTTATCTACTTGCACTTTGACGTGCTTTTGAACTGCTAGGTTGGCAGGAGCAGGGACCAAGCAACGGGAGCTCACCCCGTCGTGGGGATTCGAACTGCCGACCTTCCGATTGGCAAGCCCTAGGCTCTGTGGTTTAGACCTCAGTGCCACCCACTCTTCTTAGGTTCCTTTAAAGGGTAGCTTTTAATGTTTAACAGACTATTGTATTTTAATATTTTGTTGGAAGCTGCCCAGAGTGGCTGGGGAAACCCAGCCAGATGGGCGGGGTATAAATAATAAATTTATTATTATTATTATTGGCATAAGGCCAGTCCACCACCCTCTTTTCCACATGCCTCTGGGAAACCCACAAGTGTGACATGAGGACAAAAGTCTTCTCCTACTGTTCATCCCCACCTCTGTGTCCAAAAAGCCAATGCAGGCTCCAAGTCCTCCTTCCCCTGCAGAGACAACAGCCCTGAGACTAGGAACAGGCTGCCTTTCCCTAAAGCAATGAAAGCAACCCTCACTTAGAATATTGAGTCACCTGCCCTCTGCCACCTCCTGTGTTCCTTGTTTCTCTTTAACAGATGCAGAACTCTGCTTGACTTGGCAACATCCCAGTTCAACTGCTTCCAAGAAGTCCATACGACGAGTAGGAAGACAGCCCTGCTTCCTGGCACTTCGCAACCCCCTGCACCCTCCCCAGCAGTCAAAGGCAGGCTGCTTCTGAACATTAGCTGTCATGGCTAATAGGCCTTGATGCAGCTGCCCTTGGGCAAGCCCTAGAGTCATGAGAGAGAGAGAGACAGAGAGAGAGAGAGAGAGAGAGAGAGAGAGAGAGAGAGAGAGACTTCTTCCATTCTCTCTGCACCAGGGTTTCCCAATCTTGGGTCTCTGGCTGTTGTTGGACTACAACTCCCATCATCCCTAGCTAGCAGGACCAGTGGTCAGGGATGATGGGAGTTGTAGTCCAACGACAGCCGGAGACCCACGTTTGGCAAACCCTGCTCTACCCCAAGGGTAGCCAACGTGGTGCCTTCCAGGTAACTACAACTCCCATGTTGGACACTCTAGCTCTACCCTGTTCAAGCGTATTTATGCTTGCAAACCTAGACATCTGAAAGCAAAAGGGAGCCAGGAATTCTACCTCCGAGAGCGTCCTGAAAGGGTTCCGCTTGCTGTAGAGTTGCATACTACTTCCGAGGGTCTTGACAGTCCTGCTCGCTCTCTTGGAATCAGGTGGGGTCTGCTGCAGTGCGGACTCAGCCCTTCTCTTGTGTTTGCAGATGATGTAGTTCTGGGAAAGAAAAAGTGAAAGGAAACAGAGTGTAAAGAGAATGTAAAGAAAACAATGTGCAGGCGTGCGGAAGGACGGAATGTTCTGTTCTTTGGAGAGTTAGAATGAACCCTCTTAATTTGTCTGAGATTGGCTGTTTCCCTTTTGCGGGGGAGGAATATACAGGACAGGGGGCTCGTTTTCAGAGCTGCCCTGACCCTTCCTCAAAACCACAGACAGGTGTCAGGATTAGACAAGTGGAGGCTCATGTGAAGAGATGCTATCCATGTCTTGTGTTTAGCTGATTGAGTACCTGGAGGGTTGGGTGGTCTGGGAGGGTGAGCTGAGCCCCTGGGAATGTTACTCCCTCATTTAAGGAAATTGAAGCCTGACTATCTTAGAGTCCTTATCTCAGGCCTAGCAGCATCCCATCCATCCATCCATCCATCCATCCATCCATCCATCCATCCACAATGTAATTAGTGTCAGGGCTGGATTAACCATTAAGCAAAATAAGCGTGTGCTTAGGGCATCCGGGGAAGGAGGGGGCACCACGTAAATTGCTCAGCTGAGCATTCATTTTCTCAGTTGAAGTATATTAAAAATCCCAACAGAACAATGATGCAACAAGGCAGGCTGGAATCTGGGTGCCTTACCTTGACTAAGCATAAAAGCAGATGCGTTACGTAAGGTTAGTTTTGAGAATCTGATCAAAGGCTTTGCAATTAGAAAAAGTAGAAGAATGCAGAAGGTACATAAAGAATGGAGAATATTTAAAGACTATCTGAAAAATTAGTGTAACAAAAAAAAAATCTCCTGGCAGACCTTGAATGATTCTTGCAAAATTAAGGTGATAAATAATAAAGTACTCTTGACAAGAACTGGGAAAGCAAAAATAATAATAAGGCACTGCGTGTAAAATAACAAATGAGAAATAGTACAATGAGAATAACCAGAAGTTAATTTTATTTATTTTAATATTTCTTCTTCTTCTTCTTCTTCTTCTTCTTCTTCTTCTTCTTCTTCTTCTTCTTCTTCTTCTTGTATGAGAATAAGGGTCTAAGATAGCATCTACCTCATGCTCCCAGCATCTCCCTCTTCTTTTCTCCTATGTCCTATCCCTCTTGTTCCACTTTAGCCTTATTTTTTATTTTTTTTAACATTGAAGGCGCATGAACCAGCTTTTGCTGGAAAAGCAGGGTAGTCTAGGCTCATGAGCATCTGGCAAGGATAAGATAGTCCTTTCTTATTTTCACATTCTGTACTCCCAATACTCTTAAACTGTTGATTTATGCTGTTAGTCAGTTTATATCCCACTGGGTCTTAGGATCCACGTTGCTTTAAAAGCACTGGCATAAGTTCTTGAGAAGGAGGTCCAATTTCTGAGTCCAGTGCCAAAGACTTTTGGCCACTGAGTAGGCTGAGAGAGAAGTTTTTTTTCATTTTGTGCTAGCTGATGAAGCTGTCAGGAGTTCAGCCTACACTCGAGTAGGACCCTGGCAGAGACACATGCCCGACTGGCATGTTCTCTCTCTCCTGGTCTTTCATTCGGGAGCTTCAAAAGCTTTCTTCTGCCTAAACATCACAGCGACCGAGGCCAACAGACATTGGCACACTTAGGGATTAGCAGAGTGCTCGCAGTTTGCGTAACAGACCTCAGCAACTCAGCATTTTGGCTAATCTATTTATTTATATATATAAACACACATGGAGCACTGCAACATGGCTCCCTCTCCCTCTAGCATCAGACAGCAAAGAGAAAAAGAACAAAGGACAATAGTCCCACTTCACGGAACACAGTAACACAAACATCCTGTCTCCATCACATCCCACTCTGTGGAGTCAAAACAAACACCATCATGTGATAAGACAAAAATCCCATGACTGCAATCATAGATCAGGAATTCTAACAGAAGCCTCAGACATAGAGACCCTTGCTTAGAGATGCACAAATCTCTGAGATTTCCCAGAGAGCTAGCAGTTTGTTCCCAGTATCTGGTAAGAGCAATGGGAGGTTGCACTACTACCAGGAGGGTCTTTAATTGGACCAGACACCCTTATCCTGACAACAGCTGTAGTCCCACTTACACTATTTGCTAAATAGATGAACTCATGCACACAGAAGCTGTCGAGACAACTGTTTATCTGCTATTTCTGACAACGCATTTGGGCATTTCAGGATTATGGCATGGCTGGGCTTTTGGGGACTTTCAAGCAACCATCAACTACCGTATTTTTCGCCCTATAGGGCGCACCGGCCCATAGGGCGCATCTAGTTTTTGGGGGGAGGAAATAAAGAAAAAAAATTATTTCCCCCCCAGGTGCGGGGCTGGGGCAGGGGAAGCCTGAGCTTCCCCCGACCCCAGAACAGGCTGCTATCCGCAAGCCTTGGGAGTTCTGCAGGAACTCCCAAGGCTTGCAGACATCTGCCCAAAGCCCGGGGTGCGCTGCGGAGCGCTCCCGGGTTTCGGGCTGCAGGCTGCCATCTGCAAGCCTAGGGAGCCCGGAGGGAACTCCCGCTGGGCTCCCCAGGCTTGCGGATAGCTTCCTGAAGCCTGGAGAGCGAGAGGGGTTGGTGCGCACCGACCCCTCTCGCTCTCCAGGCTTCAGCGAAAGCCTGCATTCGCCCCATAGGACGCACACACATTTCCCCTTCATTTTTGGAGGGGAAAAAGTGCGTCCTATAGGGCGAAAAATACGGCAGTTCCACGCAATCCAAACCATCTATGGTGTGAATCTGTCCACAGCCAGTTCAATTCATTTCCCTCTGAACTCCCTAGTCTACATCCCCCTGCCCCAAGAAGCGTGTAGCTTCTTGATACCTAAGGATTACACCACCTAGCCTTGGATCATAGCCAAATGTCTTATCTTAGAATTAGGTTTCTTTGAAGACAGGTGCATTAAGTAGAGGATGCACAAAGAGACTGGAGCTGACATACGACTCGTACACAATGTTAAATAGGAACCAGCCATCTATCTGTCAGGGACCCAAACCAATGGCTTCAAATGACAAGAAATGGGGTTCCAATTAAACTTCAGGAAGAACATTCTGACAGTAAGAGCAGTTCAACACCCTCAATAATGTCTACACGGACTGGCAGTGACTCTCCAGGCTCTTTGCCAGGCAGTCTTCCCATGTCCTACCTAGAGATCCCAAGGATCTGGCATGCTCTGACCCTCAGCCACAGCCCTTCTCCAAACACATGCTAAGCCAAGCAAGAAATAAGATGAAAAGTGTGTGTTATGCTTATGTGAAACAAGACACAGACCTCATATCCTAAGAGCGCAAGGATCTGGGAAGCATCCAGCCACACAAATCTTTTCAATTAAGAATAAATCTTTACCCAATAAAAGTTTATTACTTAAATAAACTGTGTGTGAATCCCAGACATGTCTGCTAGGACCAAAAGAATTAATTACAGTAGCCCAACTGAAGTCATCTCAGATACCCTCCAGATGTTTTGGGTTACGACTCCCAACATCCCCAGCCAGCACAGGGTTAGTAAGAGATATAAAACCAGAGCAGGGTTGCATAATGCGGAAGGCTGGCTTAAGAGAATGAAGAAAAGCTCACTCCTTTTGAGCAAAAAGAACATAGTCGCTGCAATGGAATACCAAGGCACCTTTTGCAGTGGATTATTATTATTATTATTATTATTATTATTATTAATATACCACTTTATATTTTAAAGAAAAAAATCTCAAAGCAGTTTACAACACATTGACACATCAAATAAAACAATCCAGAAGAAAACAAATGCAAGCTTCAAGGAAAATATTTCAGATCCTTTCTCTAAGTGACATTTTGCTTTCCCCATACTTAATTTATAGAGCTGCCCCACAGCAGAAGTGCTCTAGGAAGCCAGTGTGGTGTAGTGGTTAGAGTGTCAGACCAGGACATGGGAGATCAGGGTTCAAATCTGCACTCAGTGGTGAAGCTCACTGTGGGTCATTGTAAGGATTAACTGCGGAGTGGTAGGGGTGAACCATGTACTCTTTGGAGAAAAAGTTGAGATATGAATGCAATAAATAAGCTCTTCTCCTTATCTGCTGGAGGGCCCAACCAGACGGTGATGTCAGTCGCCAATCTGGCATCAAGACATCTCCACATGGTTGCAAAATGTGCCTAGGGAATTTCTAACACTGCTATGCAACACACACACTGCTTTTCTTCCCAGCTTATATACTTCCCAATTTAAATATATAAAGTTACATGATTAATTTGGGTGGGTAGCTTACACAGAAAGGCATTTATATCTGTAAGACAGGATTCTTTTGAAAAAGAGACTTGATGAAGTGGTCGAATCAGCCACTTTGGGCAGATCCACAGAACGCATTGAACACAAATTTGAAGCACTTCTCTCAAAGGATCCTGGAAACTGTAACCTCCCATTACAGAGCTACAATGCCAGCACCCTCAACTACAGTTCCTAGAATTCTTTAGGGGGAACCATGTGTTGAATGTGCTTTAGAATGCATGTGAATTTGCAGTATTATAGCACTTTAAATAAACCCTATAATATAGCAGAAGAATTGTGCTCAACAAAGAACAGTCTCTTTTGTACACCTGATGAACATTTAACGACAGCCTCATCTGTACACACACACACCTGACAAAAACATGTCCTCATGACAGCATCACATGTACACCAGCACAGACACATGCATCTCTCATACCTCCCACCAGACACAGACACACATGCACCAGTCGCACATGAACACACAGGAAATCATCGTCTCTGCCAGGAAAACAGCACTGACGACCCCTACGTTCCCTCGGAAGGCACATCAGCACAGGCACCGTGCGGAAGAGGCCAATAATAATAATAATAACAATTTTATTATTTATGCCCTGCTCATCTGGCTGGGTTCCCCCAGCCACTCTGGGTGGCTTCCAGCACATCTAAAAACATAACAAAACGTCAAACATTAAAAACCTCCTGATACAGGGCTGCCTTCAGATGTCTTCTAAAGGTTGTGTCGGTCTTTATCAGCTTGACATCTGAAGGGAGGGCGCCACCGCAGAGAAGACCTGGTGGTGGTGGTGGTGATGATGATGACCAACTATGTTTATAAGGGTATCTACTGAGAAGAGCCATTAAAAAGCAACTGTGGAAATAATAAATATTCAGGGGCGGCGCCGAACTTTGCCCTCGCTCGGGGCGCCGTATTACCAAAGTCCGCCCCAGCATCATGTCAATGCCTCTATCTGCACACATACCCCGCACCAGACACGCACCCACATGCAGCCGGCGCGACCACGCGAACCCTCAGGAAACGGTCATCCCCGCTAGGAAAACAGCGCAGATGACCCTACCTGAGACACGAATCATCACCACGCGTTCCCTCGAAAGGCGCATCTACGCGCGCACCCGGCTTTCTATTCCCGGCAAAGCCAGAAACGCTTCGCCACCGCGCGTAAAGGCGCACGCGGGCTGGCGGACCCCGCCGAGCCTCGCGCGCCTCTTCCGCAGCCGGAGCCGACTCGGCCGGCGCCGCGCTCCGCCCCTGCCTGCCCTTTACCTCGGCTCGCTGCGGTTTCGTTGGCGGGCTCGCCTTGGCGCGGCCTTTGCTCCCCGCCCCTTATATGGTGGCTCCCCGCCGCTTCTTTCCAGCTGGCTCCACCCCAAGGGAAATCCCAAAACCAAAACGCGTTTCCAAATTTGCGCGCTTCCTGGAAAAGCGATGAGGACAAATGGGGGGTGATTGGGTTCATAGCTGTCAACCTTTCCCTTTCCTTGCGAGGAATCCTATTCCGAATAAGGGGATTTCCCTTTTAAAGAGGGAAACGTTGACAGCTTTAATTCGGTTCGAGGATCCGAAGCGCAGCGACCCGCTCGAAACAGCGGCAATTGGGTGATCGATCGCCCAAGGGGCAGCTGACGACCCCAGCCCCTAGAGGGTCGTGTGTGTTCAGGTCCCATTCTGCGGTTTCTTCAGCCATGGATCTGCATGCCTCTGCTGCCACTCTCTGTCCGCAAAATTCATCTGGATTTAGCTTATTCTCTCTTCCCTAAATCGCCGGTTCTCTGCTCCCCGCCTCGATTCTGGCATGTGTGCAGGCATTTTTGAACTTTTGTTCAGGCACCTTAAAAATAATAAATCCCAGGGAAGCAGCAAGTGCTAACGTAAGGTTGTGGCTGGGAGCATCTAGCTTGCATTGAGAAGTTCCTGGGTTCTATTGCCAGCGCCTCCAGGTGGAGCGGAGAATGTCACCTGGCTGAAACCCTGGAGTGATGCTGTCAATCAGTGTAGGCAGTACTGACCTGGATGGACCAACGGGGTTGATTTCATGAGGCTAGGTTCTTAAGTGCTACTAACCTCAGTTATGATTCATGGAAGGTGAGGGGGGGGGAGCGGGTAGGAAGATATCAATTTCCTTTTAATAAGAAGAAATACTGAAGCCTTTTGCAAGAGTGATTTTTACCAAAGGCAGAGATTCCCAAACTGGTCTATGGACCACCATTGCTTTGTTTAAGTGTTCCGCAGTGTATCTGTGGATACTTGATTGAAGACGAGAGGCGGCACATCTGTCACATTAAATATCAATGTTGCATTTAAATTGCATTTAAATTGTGGCTTTTATTTCTTACATTGTGTTTCTATTGTGTTTCCAATTTGAATTCTGTTGAATGCAAAAGAATACAACATAAGAAATTTCTAAAAGCAATAAAAACGCAATTAACAACCATGCAGCATCTAGCACAGCAGTTTATGATTGCTACGACAGGCACAAAAACTATTAAGTGATCATTTTCAGATGGTCTGTGAAAGTCGTGGAATCACTGTATGTACTGTGATGACAATTTCTGAAGTAATCCTTTGGGTGCACTTGGGAAACAACTCCCCCTGTAGCCAGGCTGCTTATTAAACATTGAACTCCTTTCTGGTGAATTTGGCTCCAACCCACAACAGTTTCTTGCTGTCTAAAGAGCCACAAGAGGGAGTATAAGCTTCATGCTAGATAGAACAAAGTACAGTGGTACCTCGGTTTATGAACTTAATCCGTTCTGGAAGTCTGTTCTTAAACCGAGGTGCGCTTTCCCTAATGAGGCCTGCCGCCGGCGGTGCCCTTCCACCGTGTGGATTCCGTTCTTAGACACTACTTCCAGTTTTGTGGAGTTCGTAAATCGAATCGTTCATAAACAGGACTGTTCTTAAACTGAGGTACCACTGTACTAGGATTTAATCCATGGCAACATCTCTAATTCAAAGGGTCAGGATAAAGGTAAAGGGTAAAGGGACCCCTGACCATTACGTCCAGTCATGGCCGACTCTGGGGTTGCGGTGCTCATCTCGCTTTACTGGCCGAGGGAGCCGGCGTACAGCTTCAGGGTCATGTGGCCAGCATGACTGAGCCGCTTCTGGCAAACCAGAGCAGCGCACGGAAACGCCGTTTACCTTCCCGCCAGAGCGGTACCTATTTATCTACTTGCACTTTGACGTGCTTTCAAACTGCTAAGTTGGCAGGAGCAGGGACCGAGCAACGGGAGCTCACCCCGTCACGGGGATTCGAACCACCGACCTTCTGATCGGCAAGTCCTAGGCTCTGTGGTTTAACCCACAGCACCACCCGCGTCCCTTAAGGCTCAGGATAACAACTTGCATATATGTCAATAAACAGGCATAGGAGTTGCAGGTCAATGCTATGCCTGTTCATTCAGAACTGTGCTCTGTGGAACATATTCCCAAATAAATATGCATAAATAAATATGCCCACATCAAATTAGGCATGCCCTCAATTCTCTCGTGCTGAAATCCATCTTCAGCTTTACCTAAAGCACTTTGCAGAGATTTTGCTTTACTCAGTCAATCCCATTAGTAAGTATCATAAGCTTGGTTTGTATGGGCTGCTCCACTACAAGCCAAATGTGTGAACTGTCTCTCCTGAAAGAGTATTGAGATATTGGACAGTATGGTGATTAATCCATGATAGTTCTTGTGTGTGAGAAGAGAAGATTCCCTGGAAAAGATCTGATGTTCGGAAAGATGGAGGGCACAAGGAGAAGGGGACAACAGAGGACGAGATGGTGGGACAGTGTTCTCGAAGCTACAAACATGAGTCTGACCAAACTGCGGGAGGCAGTGGAAGACAGGAGTGCCTGGCGTGCTCTGGTCCATGGGGTCACGAAGAGTCGGACACGACTTAACAACACCACCAACAACAGTTTGTGTGTATGTGTGTGACGAGACATCAGGATGCTGTGCCCCTAAGCCAGGGTCGGCAAAAAGTTTTAGCTGCAGGCCTTGTGGCGGCACGGGGGGAGGGGAGCTGGAAGAAGATGCGAGGGGGGCAAGTAGTCCTCCTGCCCACCCCCCAGCCCCAGCCGCTGTGCTTACTCCCCCAGGGGCTGCCACCACCACCACTACCACCATTACTGCTGCTGCTTCTTGTGGGTAGGCAGAGTGAGCTCGTCCGCTCCACTCTCTGGCCCACAGAAGCACCAGGGTGGCGGCGGTGGTGGGAAGATGAGCAGCGTGAAAGGGCTGGCTCCGGAGAGGGGCTGCTTAAAATGGCGTTCAGCCAGCCCAGCCCCCTTCCTCCTCTAGGCAGGGCAGGGAGAAGCCAGGAGGAGGGAGGGAGGAGGCGCTGCTGCAGTGTGTGTGAGGGAGAGGGGGGAAATGGAATGGCGTGGGGGGAAATGGTGCAGCCCGAACGAACAGAATCCCCATGCCGATCCACAGACAGTCTGCAGGCCGGATCCTGTAGGCAATTGGGCCTGATCCGGCCCCCCAGGCCTTAGTTTGCCGACCCCTGCCCTAAGCAATAGGTGTACACATGTATCATGCTTTAGCTGTGAGCTGTTTTGCCTCAGGAGTGTTAGTCACCATTAAATAATCATTGATGACTACTCCAAATCTACTCCAAATCTTCTGAACTTCTGTCCCTTCCAACTCTGTTTCACAGGATCCTTGGAATTACTCGGAACTGGCTAACAATGCAAGATGCTAAAGGAGGCGGTCCTTCCATCTAGCTTAGCCGGGTCAAATTACTTCTATTGCTGGATCTTCCAACATTAGCATTACACAAACACCTGGTTACTTCACTTCCAATGAAACTTCTGAGTAAGCGTGTTCCGTAAGGGTGAAAACTTGAAGCCAGGTTTCTGGAAGCCTTGTCCAACTGTCCAACCACAATGTCACACTGGCTCTTTGTAATGCACGTACATTTAATAAGCATCTCTAAAGTTTTCTGGCAGCTCTGAGCAAAGACTAAACAACACAGCCCTTCCAAGCAGGCTTTCAGTTTAATACCAGAACAGAACCATCTCTTCCATGAAGCATGTGGAGACTATTCCCTCAAGCAACAGAAAATTGGCAATGCCACCATCCCAGGACTCTGGTTTACTTGCTTCATTTTTTCCCTGCCCTGTTCCTGCTGCTGCTCCCAGTTGCACACCCAGCAAGGCCCTCTGCTACCCGCTCACCTGTTACCAACCTTTTAAGCTTTTCTTCTATATAATAATAATAATAATAATAATAATAATAATAATAATTTATTAATTATATTCTGCCCATCTGGCTGGGTTTCCCCAGCCACTCTGGGTGGCTTCCAACAGAATATGTAAAACATCAAACATTAAAAACTTCCCTAAACAGGGCTGCCTTCAGATGTCTTCTACAAGTCAGATAGTTGTTTATTTCCTTGACATCTGATGGGAGGGCATTCCACAGGGTGGGTGCCACTACCAAGAAAGCCCTCTGCCTGGTTCCCTGCAACCTCACTTCTCACAGGAAGGGAACCGCCAGAAGGCCCTCAGAGCTGGACCTCAGAGTCCGGGCAGAACGATGGGGGTGGAGTCGCTCCTTCAGGTATACTGGGCCTTTGAGGCTGTTTAGGGCTTTAAAGGTCAGCAGCAACACTTTGAATTGTGTTCGGAAATGTACTGGGAGCCAATGTAGGTCTTTCAGGACCGGTGTTGTGTGGTCTCGGCGGCCGCTCCCAGTCCCCAGTCTAGCTGCCGCATTCTGGATTAGTTGCAGCTTCCGAGTCACCTTCAAAGGTAGCCCCACATAGAGTGAAAATGTTGAAAACACATTTCTACTTGTGGCAGTGCAGGCACTCTCCTCATCACCTGACTGAGGAAGGCCCCACTTGGCCCTTTTTAAGAATAGGTAGGGAGGCGGACGAGTTGCAGCACTATTGCCACTGCTGAACTGGCAACAAAAGAGGGGAAAGTGGACAGGAGTGGGGGGGGAGGAGAAGTGGGGGCGACAGCTTAGGTGGTGCAATCTCTTGTGTGGGAAACCTGAGACCCAGGGGTTGAATGTGGTCTTCTAGGCCTCTCTGTCCAGTCCAGGGTACATTCCCCAGGTCACCCCCCCCCATTGCCTGCCCTTTTCTGAGCTGTCCTTGAGTGCGCTAGTGTTATGTACTGAGTTGAATAGGATCCAAAAGGCAGCAATCTGATTGGTCCTAGAACAATAGGATTCAGAATGCAGCAGTCTGATTGGTCCTAGAACAATAGGGTCCAGAATGCAGCAGTCTGATTGGTCCTGGAACAATGCAGCAGTATGATTGGTCCGCAGGAGCCACCCAATCCAGCTCCAGGTGGAAATGAATCCGCAACCTGATTGGCCTACAGGAGAATCCCAGAATTAGCCAATCACGTGCGGCCCATTGTGTAAATAATGTA